TGGTAACTAAGATGTGAGTTTTTTTATTAGACAGTTCGATCCTGCTAAAGAAAATATTTTCTTTTATTCTTTGCAAGGCCTTTATTTTAATTTTTATTTTGTTACTTTTTGGAGTTTTTAAAAAAGTTTTACCTCCAGTAAAAAAAACAGAAGGAAGTTTTACCTCAAAATTGACTTTAGATTTACAAATATGTTAGACCGACACCGAGAAACATTAATTGCAATAAATAAATAAAAGGAAATGCTAATATATCCCTACTTATTTTTTAGTGGAAGTATGTTATCAACCTATACCAAAATTTTAGGAAAAAAAATCACTCATTTTTTTTAATTTGGTTAATTCGTACAAAAGTTATTATAGTAATTTAATTTAATTTTAAATGAAAATAAAATGTTTTCTCTTTCTTATTAATTTCATTCTCCAATTCATTTATTTTTTTTATTAATTAATTTTTATTTGTTGAGAGAGAGGAGAGAGACATCATGAGAGATGAGAGAGAAATGAGTTAAAGAAGGAATTTAATAGGAGAGGGATAAATAAGTTAGAGAAATAATTTAATAGGAAAGTGAAATGAACTAGAGAAGAAATTTAATAGGAGAGAAATTAAATTACTATAATATCTTTTATACGAATTAACTAAATCAAAAGAAATGAGTAATTTTTTTGTCCTAAAATTTTGGTGTAGGTTGCTAACATACTCTCACTAAAAAATAGGTGGGAGTATATTAGCATTCCCCATAAATAAATATCATAAGTATTTTCAATATTAAAGTAATTTTTGAAAAGGAAAAAAAATTAATTACAATCTTAAATACAACGTGATTAATAAAAAGAATGACAGAAATTTGTGTAACTACCTTTAAAAATAATAAATACGAAACATTATTTAAAAATCAAAAAATGAAAAAAAAAAAGTATAATGCAAAAATAACTTAATTATTCTCAATCTAGTTTAGAAAATATATCCTCATAAAGACTAGAGATAGCAAAAATACATGTACTCGCGGGTATCTGTAGGTAAAATCTGCTACGGATAATAAATGAATAGGTTAATTGGGTACTTGCGGATAATGGGGACGGATAATTTTTTTACTCATTTATAAATGGGGCGGGGCGGCTACGATGATATTCATACTCGCGGGTACCTGTTTAATAATATTTCTTAAATATTCTAATTATTTTTGTACCACATAACCCTGAAACTACACTCTCTCGTCTTATTTTCTTATAAAAGTGAGGCTAATGAAGTTACCAATATGTGTTAAGCATGTTATAGAATTATGTTGGACATAATTTGATTAATTTTCTAGCTTTGATTGGACCAATAAAATTTATGTATTTTAAGTTGTTTACTTTCGCTTGGAATTATGATATTGAATTATTGTAATTTTGTCATGAGACTTTAACTTACTTGTGAGATTGATGTATTTTAAATCATTGATTATCTTACATTTTTATTATTATTTTAACAAAATTAACGTTAAATACAAGTTCAAAATTAATATTGAATTTTTATTTTTAATATTTCAATGACATTAAATATAGACTTAAAATTATTTATAATATAACTTTTTTAATTTCTTAAAAAATTTATAAATATTCATAAATATTTATGAGTATTTAAGAAATTCATAAATACTCGTTTAATAGATACTCGCGCGGATATAAGATAAATATGAAAACAATTTTCATCTAACAGGGTAGAGACAGATTTACATTACCCGCCCATGATCCCCATTATATCCCTAATAGAGACTCATACTACATTATTTTATATAGGGACATAATTAACTAAACACATTCGTCCACTAAATATATATTACACACACAAAAAGACAATATATATTACATCATCAACGATTAATAATACAACTGTTGTCTATATATTTCATACCGTATAGCTCACTCAGACTTTAGGACATTTATTTCATGGATTAAAGCACTATATATTTTTTTTTAAATGTGACTTTGAAAATATAGAATTTTCATATGTATTACAAGTTTTAAAAATTTACTCCAGATTCCTAAGTATTTTTTATTTCTTAAAAAAAAATTATCTCATGTTTTAAGTCATTTTAATTTTTGATAAAGATAAGAAAGTTATATTTTTATGAAAATATATATAAAAAAAACTATTGTCTAATTCAACTATAATTTTATTTTTTTAATGTAATTATTTTGAATTTTAAAATATTTTTAAAAATATTTAAATTTAACCAAATTTATTTTTAACTATTTTAAAAAAATAAAATTTATAGTTATATTATTTCTGATAATCATATTCTTAGAAATACAATATCACTGTATGAGAGATATACATTAAGTTTAGGAGATTTAGAAGAGGAGAGAGAATAGCATGAATTTTAAATAAATAAAAGCAGCATTTTATAAGATTTGTTCGATGAAAATTTTTCCTAAAAGTAAACAATTTGATTGGATGAATGTAATATCATTATCAAATATTAAGCTGATGTCATCTGTGACTTCAGTCTGCATTAATTGTTTGGCATTGTCAACGTCAATGTCATTTGAGTATCATTATTTATCCTCGCCATCTCTTTCATTGTGAGATAATATATATATATATACAGAGACTTAAATATATTTTTAATCTCTTAAATTTAAGATAAATTTATTTTTAATTTTTTAAATTTAAAATTGTTATTTTTAGTTTCTGTAATTTTAAAAAATATTATTTTAATTTTTATATTTAAATTTTATTAAAAAATTTATCAAATATTATTACATAAAATTTATCTATTAGTATTTTTATTAGTAAAAATATCATATTTAATCTGGTTGATATTACATAACTGTTTTAATTAGTCACTTTCAAATATGTTATTGGTGACCTAAAAGACTAAAATAAGATATATATATATATATAATATGATAAAAAAAATGTATCATATCACAGAGAAAATTGACCGTACTCTTCAAAATTTAAGGAATTCTGGAATCGTTGATTTCAAATAGTTTCATCACTATATAGGTACTCTTTTATAAACTTTGTTTTTTTAAGTCTCTATAATAATAGGCGATATAAAATAAAGAAAATAAAAAATAATATTTATATATATAAACTTTTTGTAAATATAAAAAGTAAAATGTAAAATTGTAAAAATTATTAAGAAAAATAGATAATCAAATTTTATATTTATCAGTGTCAAAGAGACACTCATATGTTTACGTGTTTATTTTAAAAAATTATTGAAGTTAAGTAATAAGTTAAGATTAACGTAGAATTGGAGTATCGAGTAATTTCATATAGTTAATTTATGTGAGTAAAGGAAGTAGAAGTAACTTTTGACAAATATTCAATAATTTAAGAGATAAAAATATAAAAATAAAATAACTTGGATCTCTCCTGGTTATTTAAAATATATAAATTATGTTACCACCTCATTTTTTTCAATGTTCAAGTATTTAGCAAAATATAATAAGTTTAAAAAAATGAGTAATGCTACTTGAACTACAAACCTATACATAATCATTTTGAATCATATATCTTCTATTGCATCGTCGCCTATTATAAATTATTCCATAAATTTAAACTAATACCTAAATCGATGCCCAATATTGTTTGACCAAGCTTTAATGAAGAAATTATTGTCATGTACGTTAGCTTAAACTGCAACAACCTTTTCAAATTGCATCGAGATCTCTGTTGTTTAAAAAATAGAAAGAAGTTTAGAGTTTACTTTTTAAATTATTTACTCTGTGCTTATTGTTGTTCTTATATTAGTTATTCGTCTTTATAAAAAATATAAAGTAATATTCCTTCCATACACATAAAAGTTAAACTTTTGTCCATGATTATGTTGGAGAAAAAGTTTCTATCAATATAAAATTGTTAAAAAAATATCTATGAATTAAAACTTATGTTTTTATTGAATAAGGACTAGGGAGGAGAGATTTGACTTGTCAAATGGGTCGGTCATCTCATAAAATCAATAATTAGCAGTAGAAATAATTATTGTTATCTAAGACTAACACGAACAAATTCTTGATCACAATAACAATTCTGCATACATGCAATATGTAAGTTGCATGGGGTGTGCCTTTGGATGGGTCAAAATCACATCACACATTACTAGGGGTGGGTAGATGGAGCCGGGTTTGCGGACCGGTCCGTAAGCCCGCGGATTTCGCGGATAACGGACCCGTTTTTTTAAATCCGTATGACTATGTTTAATTTTTTAGCCCGGTCCGTGAAGTCCACGGACTTGGCGGATTTAATTTGCGGGCTCGCAGGCTAGTCCGCGGACTTCACTAATTAATATTTTTACATATTACGATTTTAATATTAAGTTGTGTATTTAATTTTTTAAATTATTATGTCATTAAAATTATGTTTAGTTGATATGTATTTGTCATTTAAATTATTTTTATGACATTTTGATGTTTTTATTATTAAAAGTTTGGTACTATTATTTAAATATTTGTAATTATTTTTATTTTAATATTTAGTATTTTAAACCATTTTAACTATTGATAAATTTTAGTATGATAAAATTTAGCTTATAAATAAAAAAATATTTTTTTCTTCCAATTTTATGTATTTTTTTTTTAAAATTTATTTTTTTGAACTATTATTTAGGCCCGCGGACTGGTCCGTTATTGCCCCTAACTCTCAGTTTCTATTGGAACTTCTGATCCTTTGAATTTTGTTGCACTGTTATCATTTGAGTTAAAAGAATTTCGAAACTTGAAATTTCAATGTATTTGTCCTGGTCTCCTTGAAATAATCTGATTTTCCTTCTTTTAATGAAAATACTCCCTTTTTGTGTGTCGTACTCTTTATTCTCCATTTTTATCAAGCTGAATATGTTAACAGAACATGGATGTTTGTAATAACTAACCTATCATTCTACACTTTGGGCAATCATCAATCTTATTTGTGCAAATTAAAGCATTTGCTCCTGAAAGCAAAATGCAAATTTATAGTTTTTTTCTCTCTTTATTCTCCATAGTTTGTCCTTTTTTAATTTTTGTTATTTTTGTAATTTTTCTGATGGGACTGCCTTGTTTGTGTTTTTCTTTTCATTGTAGGCCATCCATAATTCCTGGACCTGCTCCTGATGAAATAGTTGTTCCAGCCACCGAGTCTGTTGGTCTGTTCCACTTAATTTGAATAGCATCTTCTTTATAAAAAAAAATACTTTTTTTTTTCTTACCTCCCAATGTTTTTTAGGGGTAAAACTGCTCTTGAAGATGGGATGGAGTCGTAGTCGCTCAATCAAGGATTCACATTCTGATGCTCTGTATGGTAGGCTTCCCATCATTTTGATTTTGGTAAAGATTATATGAACCATTTATCTTGTTGCATTATTTTTTCATATCTAGGAAAGATATTAATCTAATATAAAATTTTATATAAAATCTTTTTATTAATGTTTTTGTCAGATTGCTGTCTAGTTAACTAGGCTTCCATGTCTCAATTCATGTAATTGTACTGTCTGTAGATGCCAGGAGACAGGCCCGTAGAGCTTTTTTAGCATTTTCTTCTGATGATCCAGCAGTAAAAATTACCGAGTCTGAGCTTATCAAGGGTGATAGTGAAAATTTTCCTGAGCAGCTTGTAGATGATGATCAGTTTTCTAAGAGCACACCGGTGAGGAGGAGTTTCTATTACCAATCATACATAAGTGTTGTATATTTCTTATATGGTTATATTCTTATAGCATGGTTGAATGTTTATTTCATTTTCAATATGCTTTTTGGGGATTGTAATGTCTAGGGGTGGGTATACGGACCGGTCCGGCCCGTTTAAGGCCCGGTCCGTAAAACCCGTGTTTTATACAAGCCGGATAAGTCCGGTCCGTATATTAAATGGACTTATTTTTTAAGTCCGTATCCGGCCTGCCAAAATCCGCGGATAACGGACCAGTCCGCGGGCCTAAATAATAGTTCAAAAAAATAAATTTTAAAAAAAAAATACATAAAATTGGAAGAAAAAAATATTTTTTTATTTATAAGCTAAATTTTATCATACTAAAATTTATCAATAGTTAAAATGGTTTAAAATACTAAATATTAAAATAAAAATAATTACAAATATTTAAATAATAGTACCAAACTTTTAATAATAAAAACATCAAAATGTCATAAAAATAATTTAAATGACAAATACATATCAACTAAACATAATTTTAATGACATAATAATTTAAAAAATTAAATACACAACTTAATATTAAAATCGTAATATGTATGTATATGTGTATATGTATGTGTGTAGTGATTAAAAATTATAAAAGTAATTTTAGATAATCGATCAAATAACACCTATACAACCAGTTACATCTAAAATTATTAAAATGGGTAATTCAGTCCGATCCAGCTCAACATATCAGGGGTTGAGCAATAGGTAGGTCAACCTGGCTTGCCTTTAGGTGAATTTTTTTTAAAAAATCAACTCAACCCAACTTATCATGGATTAGTGGTTAAAGAGAGGTTGACTCGCTTGAATTAAAAAAATAAAAGAAAACAAAAAAAAAATATTGAACTTTATAAAAAAATATACATATTATAATTTTATATTTTAAAATTATAACTATGATAACAAATAAGATAAATAAAAATATAAAAAAGAAATAGATATCATCCACAACTAACTTAATCAACTTATAAAATAAAAGTTGTTATATAAAATATTAACGAATAATATCAAATTGATGCTAATTAACATAATTCACAACTAATATGTATAAAAATTAGTTAATTATATAAATGTATAATCGCATAAAATTAATATTTAGGAGCCTAGTATATATATATATATATATA